TACCCTGGGCTACTGGGCTACCAATGGAACTAATATCAGAGCTGTACAGGAAAAAAAAAAAAAAACCACACATAAATACTAACATCTTAATTGGCTGATGCACTGTCACGGTGGGGGAACTTGTGCATGCAGCCCTCTCAAACCCACTCCATTTACAGAGATGAAAAGGAACAGCATGCAAATAGTAAAAGGAGATAAAACACTTTAACAACCCCACAGAATTGCTGCAGCAATCTTCCAGCAGAAAGGGATTAATTAGCAACAAAGGCAAAAATGGCCATTTGCCTTAAATTATCAGTTCTTGACATGAGCACTACGGGCTGGGAGAATCTTTGTACCTCCAGAGCTATTACCTAAACACCTCAGACGTGAGGGTGCTCTGCACAAAGCAACCCAGAGCTTGTGACGGTGGGTGCAGTCCCAGAGAATTGTTCCGTGGAGACATTTGTGGTGAGCACACCCCCATCTGACAAACGCATTCGACACGATGCGAGAACATGCCAACAGACTGGCATTAAAACAAAAAAACAAAACAATATTGCTTATTTTTCTTGACGAAAGAATCCTGTCAGTGCTCCTTTCCCAAACTCTTTCTTCTCCCTCTCAAGGGATGAGTTTCATGTTATGTGCACGCCACGCACAAATTTGAACTTTGGATTTAAACCCTCGCTTCACTTGCATTTAAATTATGTAAATATCAAACCCAAGCCCTGTGAAATCCAAAACAGGGAGCATCTCGTCCTGGTTCAGGATAAAACAGGCTCGGTCTTCTTCCTGTTATACATTTTGAATGGGCTAGTGCAGGGCCAGGCTGGTATTTAAAGTGTTTCCCAGCTACATCGCTACAGGGTGCTCTGCAACTTGTCCCCCTTTCCTGCCTCCAATTTTCTCTTGTACAACTTCCACTTCTCAGTGTCATGAATATTCATTCACCGGGTAAATTGATGTCAAGTTACTGTTCAGACAAAGTGCAAAAACTTCCTTGCCTTTTTTTTTCCCTAGAGATTTAACTACCAGGAGGTTGCTGGGCCTGGTGAGTCCAGTACCTAAGGCACACCTGCGAGAAGAGAAACTTTATCCCACGGTGAGGGATGTCAATATATTTGTGCCAGCTGAACAGAAAAGCAGACTGATCTTTTGGGGCAACCAACTTAAACCGGGTCCAAACAACGCTCCCAAGAAATACAACCTGTCTTCTCTTCGAGTTTGTAAAGACAAAATTATCAGTTTCAAGGACAGAGCTGAAAAAAACTACAGGACACCCTAAAAGATGATGTCGCCCTCCCCAGTTCCAGCACAGGCAACAAAATCTCATGAGGGGGGAAAAAAAAAATCCCAAATTAAAAATACCCTCAATATAAGGTCAAAGAAATCAAGGCAATCCAGAAATCAGCATGCAGCAAGAACTTGATTACAGTCAGCAAATGAAGTTAAGAAGAAACGAACCGCAAGGAAAATAAGTGAAAAAGAGGTGGGGATGTTGGGGCATAAAATCCTAAAAAAAACCCCACAGACCACCCTCAACATAAGGGAGGAGAAATCTCACCCCTTGCTCTCTTTGCTTTAACAAAGTGCATAAAATCACACGCTTTCATTCCTTGACAAAAACTGTAAAAGAATGTAAGGAATAAAGATTGCCATGCAAAGTAGGGCATTTCGATTTCTCAAGTCAAAACTTCATGGCACATTTTTTAAAAGGGGTCACTTTTCCTCAAAATACCAAGTGGTTTTCCTCACTCCCCCCAAATGCAGGTTATTTTCTTTATAATTTTCCCCTCTGCACTGTTGAAAATAATGGGACAAATAATACATGATGCACAAATAAGTCATAATGTTCCATGCAAGTTATTAGCAGTGAAATGCTGAATGTGTGATAAATCTAGACCTGCAAGTGAAATATGCCTCCTAATTAAAAATCAATTATTAAAACCAGTAAAGAATGAAAAAGAAAAAAGGCTCACTCACCAAACCCATAATGAAATCCTGGAAACTTCAAGAGTTATTTGAAAAGCAGAAAGAAACCTTCAACATCTATATTTAACTAAAGACTCTATTGTGGGTTTCTCGATTTTTATGATTAGCCAGTTCTGTGAAAAATTGTTTCTGGTATCTTTCGTGCTTTTATCTCTTCATTCCAAATGGTCATGCACATGAATAGACAGCATTTAAATGGGGAAAGGCAAGAACAAACCATTACTCTGGCTCTGGGCAATCAAAGTACACGGATGCCCTGATGTGGCCCCGAGGTGACGCAGGGATGATAAGCCCAAAACCACCAGCCCCTGAACTTAGATCCCAGTGCAAGATGTTTACCCACAGTGCTGTTCAGTGACAGCTCTTTTCCAGTAGATGGTTTCGAGAAAAACAGACTTAGACCAGGGTGTGCAAATAACTATTTCCGACCGATTTATGTTCAGTTCTGGAAAGATTTCCCAACGTAGAAAAGCTCAGAAGAAGCTCAAAAGTCACAGCACCTGTTGCACAAGCTTGGACAAGCAGAAATTTCCAGTTTTCTTTTTCTGTAAATCTAAGATACGTATTCGTACCCCCAGCAGTGACAGAGAGATTAAATTAACGAGCATTACTGAAGAGATCTGAATCCCATTATTGGAGAAACTACACTGGTATTACGTATTATCATAAATATTCAGCATCTGCAATCAAAAGAAGGCTTTGGTGTTTACGTATATAATAAAGTTTTAATAATTCACTATCAATATTTCACGCCAAGTGCTGCCACCCCTTCCTTCTGGATGAAGCAAAAAACACATCCAGCATTTAAAATCCACAACCACTCAACTGGGAATGGAAAAAAAAAAAAAACCTCGTACACAGAAATGCCAGTGGCCAGTGTTTTTCCAAGAGCCAGGGGCTCCGGGCTCCCTCCCCCTGTGGAAGGTGGGTGGGTGGCCAGGGCTGCCTTCCATTTTGTGTCCCCCCGCCCCGGGGCAAGCACCGGCCTGCAGACCCCACACACCCTCCCCTTCTCCAGAACACGCACCCCGTGGTGCCTGCCCAAAATCTGTAGCACTTTGGCTACAAAATTCTCGGGGAGTTTTCCTCAGAAAACTGGGAAAACTCAAGCGAGCGTTCCCCTGAGGACGTGTAGGCTGTGCCCCACCCGAGGGCGGCTCATGGCACCTCCAGAGCGGGAACGCAGCCCCCTCAGACATCGGCAGTCGCACTCTAAGCCACAAAACTGTCCCATCTGGTGTTTTACCTGTCTCACAAGCAAGGGGGTAAACGTTGTTATCCTTCCACTGGAGGTTAAAGGGCGTGGGATTGGGGTTGTGGGCGCGGGGGCTGCAGCAGATCCCTCTGTGGGCTCGCCCAGCCGGTCGCAGCCGGTTCCCTGAGGGACCCACCGCCCGCCCGAGCCCAGCCTGCCACAGCAGCTTCCCACAGCTCCCAAGGGTAGCACTTGTGTGGAAAACAGCAGTGGAAGCCCCGAAGAATGCCAGGGAAGCAGGAGGGATGGATTTCAGTTTCCAATATATTCCTTCCATCACATAAAATATGGGGAAAAATCCCAACTTGACCCACAGCCCCAGTTCATCCCAACTGCGGCAGAGGGAGAGCCACATTATCAAGTGCCACGCCGAGCAGATATCAACTTCTGAAGTACAGTCCAGCTGAATAAATACCACGGAAAGTTAATAGCCAAACCCTTTCAGCAGCAGCGGTGCTCTGGGAACCTGACTGGAATTTGAACATTTGCATTGATATATAATTTTTTTTTTTTTCCCCCCGATGTTACCAGCTGGGAGCAAGTGCTGGAGAAGGAGGTACAGGAACAGCTCTGCTGAAACTGGAACAGCTAGGGAAGGATTACCTCCGAAAGGATTATCTTTTAAACAAAGAAAAATTTGGTACACTGCAAACAACTAACTCAAATCAAAAGAAACAGATTAATCCAACAGGATTAACAGGTAAGGCTGCCCTGTGCTTTAATGTCCAGACACACAGCTGAGGAACGTGAAGGGTTTTATTAAGGGTGCAGTTCTGAAGCACCTTTCCATGGTCCAAAATAAGGGCTGCCTGTTCAGCTAAAACAAAAGCTTTGCCAACTCATCCTGCAGCTTCCCAAGCAACAGAGATCTCCTGTCTTTTTACAGAGCCCTTTCCTTTACCCTTACATATGTAAGCTCTGATCATCCAGCCCTTTTAACTCCCGCCAGGAAGGAAGATTAGTCGCTGCCTGCGCCGCTCCTGCGCTGTGAAATTTCCAGAACTGAGCACTTTTCCTTCCCTCTGGGAGGCAGGGGAAGTCACAGAAAACTGAGATCAAGCTCCTCGTGGGTTGTTCTTTCCTGAATTGTTAACACTCACGGAAGCTTTTATGGCCATGGTACTACAGGATTACAAAAAGAAAAACAGCATCGATCTACCAAAAAAAAAAAAAAAAAACAAAAAACAAAAATACATGTAGCATCCATGTATTTGGAAACAACACACAATCCATGTGCTTGAGCATCCCTACCTTACTAGCAGGCGTGTTGGTAGTATCTCTTACCTGCACCAAAGATTTGTATTGAAATCTATTTGAGTATTCTGGCAAACAGAATGAGGTAAGCAACCAAGTTGAAAACATAATTATTATTTTTTTAAAAAAGCACAAAGATAAAGCCTCATTAATTGACTAAAATTATTTTCACTGTGTTCTAATAATTTCTTCTTAAATCTTCTATTTAACATATATTTGAGGTTCTCCTGGGGTAAACTGAAAATCTTAGACACTTAAAAACATAACATAAGGCAGTTCAGTTCCTTTCTGTTTCACTCTAATCCAAAGGTGAAACCGAATTCAGCAGCAGCCACAAACCTCACCTCCCGATGATATGAAAGATTATCAGCTCCGGTGAGTCTTCCCATCTCATAATTTTACATTTTCAACTTCTGAACTTACCACCTATTGTTTTATAACCCAAGAATCATTACAGTGGTCCAGCATGTATTTCACAGTCATTTAAAAGTGAATTCAGCATTAAGCAAAGACTCACCTCCTCCGCCTCCAAGAAGGCTGGAATTAGCTGCAAGAAAAACAAAAGGAGAATCATTAGCATTGAACTTCCAAAATATAGATAGAACCACACCAGAAGATGTTTCGCATGACATTTTCCATTGTTTCAGTAACTTTGCTACTCTTCACTTACCCAAGAACATTTAATGCAAAAGCAATCATTTATGCAAACTGCAATTGCAGTCTTCACCTCTGCAAAATCTTTGAGTGCAACAAATAAAGAAAACAATAATACAACTACTAAAGCTAATGCATTGAATAGCTTATGAAATTACAACCTTGCATTTATAATTCTATGAACCATATTCCGTTGTGATCACCAAATGAACTAAAAAAAAAAAAAAAATTATTGCAGAGAAACTTCAATAGACTTTGATGGAACTTTTGACTAGCTCTCCTTGTTTTCTGTGCCATGGGACCCTTGAGGACGACAAACCTCGGCCCTGTTGATATAAAAAGGTGTTTTGCCATTGCAGGCAATTAAGTTGGGATTTCCCTCAGCCTGCTTTAATTGCCCCTGCACTGTAACTATCTGGTTACCCAGGCCAGAACTCAATAAATCACTTATGGAGAGCAATTTTCAGAGCGTGGTGATACAAGATGGTCCTTCAGATTAAGCTGGCACAACCGGAGCCAAGCCAAACGTTCTCCTCTCACTGCCCAGGCAGAAACAGAAGGAAAGCCCTTTTTGGATGTGTGGGGAACAAATCCATGTTGTATGGGAATGCAGATAAAACACAGTTTAAGAGCAAGAGCATAGGGGATGGACACAGGTATTCCTTATTGCATCCTGGTGAGTGAAGGAGAAGTAGTACCTCAAACCAAGTATTGCTCCAAGACAAGGGTAGACAGCAAGACACACAGAAAAAATGAGGTAATTTTCTATATATTACTGTACCTATTATTGTCCTCTGCTTCCTAAATATAAGTCCTTAAACAGCAAATTCCCTACTGTTGGGGTTTTTTTCTCCATCACCTTCTTAATGTTACTTCTATTTACATAAAATTGGCAGTTATCTTTGTCTTCTTCATTTCTTTTTCAGGTAGTCTACAAACACCTTTGACTGAACAGCCCATTTCAGCTCAACCGTTTGCAGCCAGCTTTCCCTGACTTTCCCTGCCGTAATAATGTCTTCCTCAGAAAGCTGGATGTTCCATCCAAGTGCTACACCCAAGATCCATGATTTTTAAAAGCAACACATACCATTAATGCTATTATCTTGCAGCGACTCAAAAAACAGCTCTGTGTCACTCAAAATGTGACGTAGTTCACACAAATAAGTGAGCAGTTTCATACCTAGCATAGCTGACCATATCAAATCCGAGCCAACTGCAAGCCAAGTTAGTTATCCACGCTAGGATTAGCTGTTCCTACACTCACTGAGGGAATGAATCAAGACCAGGATCTAGAGAGATGTTCTTGAGCATTTTTCTGGGCCAAGTCTGGTTCTAATACTCTGGAATACTAAATGGAGGGAAAATGGGGCAAACTGTTTCAGAAACAAAGTAATTTGAGGCCGTTCTGAAAGAAATGCCTGTTTGGAGATGCAGAAAGTTTGGAGCAACAGGCACAAAATGGAAAATTTTACAAAAAAAAAGAGCAACACAATCATCCATGCGTGATGAACATCTCTTGCCTCTCCTCTTTGAAGTGCTAGCAGGGAACAAGTATTGCCATTTATGAAGTGCCTTTGGCAAAGATACAATGGTAGGGATAATGTGTGCAGAGAAGGCCACTGAATGCCGATCTTCCTGTTCTTGCCCTCACTGAAATTCACTATTAAACAAAGAAACAAATTAAAAACACCCCTGTGTGTTTTCACAGCAGTTTCCAAACTTTCCTGCAACAGGTAACAACCTCACCTTCCCTGCAGTAACAAGTGTTTATCTGTGACAGAAATCAGCACAGTTCTTGCCAGGAGAAAATAAAAGTAAGAAAGTGTCATCTACTGCCATGGGCCTGCTATTCCAGCTCTTATTTTTTGGGCACTCTAGAATACACCTACAATTACCATTCTCATTCTAGCATGAGTCAAATTCTAGGATTTCTATTATTATGTTTCAGAAGCCTGAGACACAAAAGCTCAAACCTGCTACTCCTCACTGCAACCAAAGTTTCCACTGCTGAAAAAAGAGTTCCTTGGGATATCCAGCCAACATCCCCACTGCAAACTCTCATTCAATGGCTTCTCAGAGAATTATGTTTCTCTCATTAAGTTCTCCTGACAATGTTCATCTTTCCAATATGTTCTAAAACTTCTTAATAGCATATAATATAAGTCAGCACCACACACTTCTCTATAGAAACAGCAAAAACAGTTCAAACGGATTTTTGGCTGCAGTGCATCTACTCCAGCTATTGAAATTGCAGTAATAATTCACGGGCACTTTTTTTTAAAGAATTCTGCTTGCATAATAGAAAGGAAACCAAACCATTTTCCTATGATCCCAGGAAAGAACAATTTATATTTACAGTCTCATTTCTAGAAAACGTGTCACTCAAAAAAGCAAGAACTTGCAGATTTTTTTTTCCGCCTGTCCCCGAAAGGTTCAGTAAAACCCACCTCTCTTTCCATCCCCGGGAAAGCCTTGCCACGACAGAAGTAACTTGTCACTTAGCACCTAATGAATACTGTCCCAGCCAGGGCTCCTCCAGGAGGTCAGCACAGCCCCATGGCTGCAATCACATCACATCATGTCGGAGCGAGCACGGCCTCTCCTCTCCCCGTCCCTCTGTGTTTATCTACAGCTGCGTTTTGTCCGTCGGTGCTCCCAAACAATCCGGCCTTGGAAAACACTTTGGAAGCAGCCCCTGCTGTAGAGGCTCAGCTGTGGGTTGACTCTGAGCAACCTGGTCCAGTGGAACCTGGTGTCCCTGCCCACGGCAGGAGAGCTGGAACCAGATGTTCTTTAGGGTCCCTTCCAACCCAAACCATTCCATCATCCTGTGGCTGTAAATTGTAAATCCATCCCGACTAACCCCTTGCCCTTATTCCCCTATTCCAGAGCTGCACAAGACTCTCAAGTCACAGGAGACTTGGGAGTGAGAGGAAACGCTGAACTGCTACCAAGTTACCAAGGCAAAGAACAGCAAAGGAAAGCAAACAAAGAGGAGCTCCAAAGAACCGTGAGCTAAAGCCTTCCTGCACCTCACTGCACTGCCCGTGTCACCCTCCCAAACTGACCCGCCCAACCCTTCTAAAATTGCCTCCTCATGAACTGCAAGTCCTGGGCATTGACTCTAAAAATCCACTCCCCACACGAACCTTGCAATGTTATTTGAGTGGGTGCACAGGGTGGTCGGGCAGCCAGCAGACACATGACACGCGCTGATAAAGCCCCAGCCAGAACAGCTCACGTGGAGATGGACCACAAAAGACAGCACCAGTAACACATGCTTCAATAAAAATTATTAATAATTAATTATTTAAATTTAAAACAAACAAACAAACAAAACAAAACAAAAAAAAAAACACACTTATTTGGTGAGTTTAAAGTAGCGGCTTCAGGACAAGACAACTCACAGCCCCGGAGATGTTGCACATCACCACTGCTTTAAAAAGGAATCCTGAATGCTGCATTTTGAGAGACAGATCTCGCTCATCCTTCCAGCCTGCACCAGTGCAGGAAATGGAAACACACCCAGAAGTGGTAATATGGCTTTCAGCCCTGTAGTTCTGGGTTTCTCTTTAGCAGGGACATTAGAACCATTCGCAGAAAAAGTGTTTCTACAAAGTTCAGGGTCCTCTCTAAGAAAAAATTCACTATAAAAATGTTCATTTAAGAAAACCAAAATCAAACAAATAAACAAAAAACAGCCCCCAGTCTCTAATCACTGAGAACTTAATTAGATGTTGATGGCTACCAGAAATTCAGTATTTCAAATGTCTAGGCACCGAAAGAGAGAAAGAGAAAGAGAGAGAGAAAGAAAAAGAGAAAAAGAGAAAAAGAGAGGGGAAAAAAAAGAGAAAAAGAGAAAGAGAAAGAAAGGGAAAAAGAAAAATAAAACCTTGAAGGAAAGAATTTATAGTAAGCTTAGTTGCTCATTATGGAAAAGCCACAATGAAAACTCAAGTTACTAAAATGCACCAATTTTAATAATGAATACACCAGTGTATTTGACAAAGAAGAACTGGACATGAAGGGTTTTCAATCTCAGCCTTCTTAATGAGTTACATCATATACCTTTCCGACACTTTTTTGACTGAATAAGCAGAGCAGGAACTCTGGCACAGGTATTAACATTTTCCTCAGTGTCCTCTTTAAAACAATGTCATCTGCCAAAAATGAGGTCACTGGAAATCGAGTGGAGAGTAAATGGACGCTGAAGAAGTTCCCCTCAAATGAAAGCCCAAATCTTTCCATGCTGATAACCAAAAGGTGGAGAAGGATGTGTGTATGGGTTGGCTAAACAGACATTTGCAGACACAGAAGTAGTTTTTCTGCTGTCAGTCCTGTGGAATGTTGAGAACAGGGGAAGATGTGAGCAGCAATTTTTGTGATGTCTCTGGAGATAACACACTTTTAGCTTTGTTAACAACACAGCTCAATAACTCTGGGTACTTTTTGTTGGCATATACTCATCTGACAACATTTTAAAAACGTAAATTCTTCTGGGAGCATGTCTTTGTCAAGTATTAATGGCACTAGTAACTTAAATTGACATCTATGTCATGCAGCCATGCATCTGTCAGTATAATAAAAGTATACTCTTAAAAGATTACTTGATATTGTCTGACTTTGGCAGCAGATGTTTGAGCTTATTTTGATGTAAAAAAGATTGAATATTTTTGTCAATACTTTCTAATTGTGAAATTTATTCAAGGAGACATCTTTATAACTGGCAGTATCGCAAGATGCAAGGCATTCTATTGCCTCAGACACCATTTTTATTCATCAATAAAACATCATAACAGGCAGCTGGTGAGCAGAGCACCAGTAATTTATGGAATGGGAAGTTACATTTCTCCTACATGTTTTGTGAGACATCCTTACCTGCCACTGCATTTT